TATGTGGTCGTGGTGAAGGTAGGAAGACCAAGCGAGCGCAGTCGACCAGGCAATCGTGGAAAGCGCGACACGCAGATCCTTCTTATGCGCTACCTCAACCGAGTTCACTTCGACGCCCCGATGTTCCCTCTCGAGCTCGAGATCTACCACCAGATGAAGAACGTCATTGGCATCGATCCCGCCTTTTACGAGTACATCCTGATGGTCGACGCAGACACTTCAGTGGAGCCTGAAGGCCTCAATCGTCTTGTTTCCGTGGCGGCGGATGACTCGCGCGTCATCGCCATCTGTGGTGAAACAAAGGTCAGCAACGAAGAAGGCTCATGGTGGACCATGATTCAAGGTGAGCTTGTTCGACCTGTTGCTGCGTACAAGCATCTGATGACTGACCATGAGCGTGTTAATTTCCAGTGTATGAATACTACATTTCGCATCACCTTGCCAAGGCCTTCGAATCGCTGTTTGGCAGTGTGACGTGTCTGCCAGGCTGTTTGTGAGTACCACCACGTCGGAATTGACTAGTCACCTGCACACATCTGACTTGTCCGCTCTCAATCACTCGTAGCTCAATGTATCGCATCCGGAGTGCCGACAAAGGACGTCCTCTCTTCATCTCGAGCCGCATCATCGACGACTACTCGGACAATCGCGCTGACACCTTGCACAAGAAGAATTTGCTGTCGCTTGGCGAAGATCGTTATCTCACCACCTTGATCCTCAAGCACTTCCCAGCATACCGCACCAAGTTCACGGCGGATGCTCACGCGCACACCAGTACGCCTGATCGGTGGGGCATTCTTCTCTCGCAAAGACGTCGTTGGATCAACTCCACCATTCACAATTTGGCAGAGCTGGTGTTGATGCCAGAGCTTTGTGGATTCTGCTTTTTCTCTATGCGCTTCATCGTCTTCCTCGACTTGATGGGAACCATCATTCTGCCGGCAACCACGGTTTACTTGATCTACTTGATCGTGACAGTAGCGACCCACAATGCCGCCATTCCCATCATTTCGCTAGCGATGATCGGAGCCGTATACGGTCTGCAAGCGATCATCTTCTTGCTGAAACGCCAGTGGCAGTACATCGGCTGGCTCATCATCTACATCATGGCTTATCCGGTATGGTCGTTCTTCCTGCCGATATATTCCTTCTGGCATATGGACGACTTCAGCTGGGGTAATACCAGAATTGTGGTTGGCGAGAAAGGCAACCGCAAGATCATTGCTGGCACCGACGACGAGCCATTCGAAGATAGCATGATCCCTCTCAAGCGCTTCAGCGAGTATCAACGCGATGTACTCAATGAGCCCACCGATGCAGCATCCATGCGCTCAGGCTTCACGGGCAAGAGTGGAGCGGGACCCTTTGGCAACAACTACGCTGTTGGAATGGGCCGCAGCACGCCATCCCTAATGGGAATGCCACAGTTGGCGCACCGCGGGCCGAGCAGTGCGTACGCTGGATCAGATGCTGGGTCCGCAGTCTATGGGCAGCCATCCGCCCAGGCAGACTACTTCCAAAACACAAATGTGCTGGATCAACGGCAGCACTCCAGACAAAGTTCAGGCGCTTTGGGAGGCTCGAAGGCCGCTTCACGTATGCCTTCCATGGCATTTGGACAGCAACCAGCGCAGCAAATGCCCGGCATGAGCCCATACGCTAGTCCGATGTATGGCGTGCAAGCTCCACCCATGTCGATGTATTCCATGGGACCCCAGAGCATGTACATGGCACCAGGCATGGGTCTGTCGACCCCAAGCTTTTCGCCATTTGCTGGTGGCATTCCGCCTATGCAGCATTCACCTGCAGGCTCTGACGCTGGAGGGCCACCGGTCATTGGACCATTGATGCCACAGGGAACCGGCAGCGGCATCTGGCCAAGCTCGCCTCCGGCTCAAGGAGGCAGTGCCACAAGGGCGCAAAGCACTTATGCGCTTGGAGCCGGCAACAACAATCCATTTGCGACGCCTGTTGGAGCGCCGTCTGCACCGGATGCACTTCCGACGAGTCTTGCCATGGAGGTCACAGACTCCGAGCTCGCTGCGAGTGTGCGCAAGTACCTGGCATCCCAGACAGATCTGATGAGCGTGAGCAAGAGAAACGTCCGAGACGCCGTCATTGCGGCGTACCCCAAGGCCGATCTTGGTAGTCGAAAGGCGACAATCAACAAGGCGATCGACGA